TAGGGAGGCGGGAAGTGGGGATGAGGGGGTGGTTGTGGAGGGGGAGGAGGATGCCGTCGGCGAAGAGTTCTTCGGCGGAGAGGAGAGAGAGTTGTGGGTTGGAGGAAGGGGGGTTTCTGAGCTTCCAGAACTCGAACTCCGGCGAGGATGAGGCGCTGCTCAGTCGCCTGGGGGATTCGGTGGTTGTCTCCATTGTGGGTGAAGAAACCTAAGCTGACAGAGTTGAGGAGGAGACGGGAGGGGAAGAGCGATGTACTGTGATGGATGGAATGATGGAGCAGAGAGAGAAAAAAAGAGTTAAAATGTCGCGGATTGCTTAGCTTTTACGGAGGGAGGAGGAGCGGTAGCAGCACAGACCACCACAGGAGAAATATTTGCGTACATAAGATGTACGCAGCGCTGCGTACATCAGAGGTTATTCAGGGGTACAATGAGATTATATTTGGGATTATATTTGGGTTATATCGGAGGTTATAAAGGGGTATAACCCGGATATAACTCCCCTGTACCCCCAGAATAACCTCTGATGTGCGCAGCGTTGGGTTATATCGGAGGTTATAAGGGGGTATAACCCGGATATAACTCCCCTGTACCCCCTGAATAACCTCTGATGTACGCAGAGCTGCGTACATAAGATGTACGCAAATATTTTCCCTTTCCCCGCAGAGGCTCTTTTACAAAGTTAAAGGGTGTAGGGTTGATTATTTGAAGAGCAAGTTGAGTTGTATGAATTTAGTTGGACACTGACCGAGAAAGAATGTGTTCTTCTTTTCGAAGTACCAGTTGCATTGTGACGGAGATAGTTGATGTTATAACATCACCTATAGGAGTGTCCCAAGGGGAAGAACTGTAAGATGGCCCTGTGCAGGACAGTGGCCTAGTAGAATTAGATTCGAAGTCTTGAAAAACTTAGGGTTCTTAGGGAGAACCCAACCCAGAATTATCTTATAGGAATCCATTTCTTGCAACTTGTGAAGGGAAACCCTAATCTAAAAATTGGGGGGTTAATTAGGAGGAATTTGAATTTAGAAAATACTCTTATGAATGATCATCTGAATAAACCTCTTACATAACCTCTAGAAGACTGCCATTGAACTAAGAGGAAAAAATTATAAGAAAAATTAATTTTTGAGGACTTTGTAAAAATTTCAGGGCTAATAAAGTATTGGGCGATTGATCGGGGATTAATAAATTAGAAATTTGATCTAGAAGGAAGCCTGTTTAGTCAGGCTGAGAGCGTTAAACCAAGCGATATTTTGGGAGGCAACCTAAGTGTTATCTGATATGTTGAACTTGTTTTTACTTTCTACATTTGTTTCAAAATTTGCTTTGAAATTTGCTTTAAATTTTCATTTGAATTAGTTTTGAGTTTTGTCCCTCTATATAGTAGTTAATCCTAGATGGTCGGTAGGAGTCGAGAACCACTAATTTTTTCTTCTTCTGTAATTTTGTACCTCTTCTCATTATTACATTGTTATATATTTGACATACTTTTATCCTGACATTATTATGATTGCTCGTGTATTTACTCGTTCCTGCGCCTACTCGTTGTACCCATGTTTACTTTTATCTGCAAGTTACATTTGCTATGAAAGAAAGTAAATTTAGGCAGAAACTATATATCTTTTTGCGAGTCTGAGAGTAGTTCATATAACTCAGTGAAGATTAAATGTTAATCAGGTAACTCCTACTTGGAATTCTAACTAATTTAATCTGCTTATCGAAATCTTTTAAAAGAGCATAAATGTCATTTATGAAGGATTAACCTTAATGTTTTAATAATAAAGATTCAGATCTTAACAACTGAATTCTATAAATTATTAAATGAGGTGTAATTTAAAAATTAAGTAGCAAAGTTTTTTTTCAGTTCATTTTAACCAATTTAATGTTAACTTAATTTTTACCTAAGAAGAAAACCTAAAGATGTGAAACTAAACTATCATTGTTGAAAGTTATTGCTTAAGGAACACTACTCTTTATTATTTTTAAAGTTAGAAAAGAAAAAGTTTCCAATGTTTCCATTCTTTTTTTTAACTTTTGGAGTTGTCAACTTTTCCTATTGTTGTCGTATAATTTTCTTTCTAAATAGGTCTCTTTTTTGAATCACGAAGATGATTTAAATAGAAGAGGAACCAGAAAGAAAGAAAATATGACAAAAATATGCAAACAATGAGAAAAGAACGTAGAGAATTTTTCATAAGGTAAACTTAATGCCATAGCTCAAGAACTTACTTCTGAAATGAGATTGGATTAATGTGACTTGAAGGCATATCGGTGAAGAAAACCCTCTGAAAGCGTCCCACAATAAAAGAATTAGATTTTTGTGCTTGTTTTGGGTCAAGAGCAACTCCCAAAGGAATGCATTCCTTTGGTTAATTAAAACTTGGGGGATGCCTAAGAATACACTCGATAAAATGGTTCTTGCTTAGAATATTTATGATATTTAATTATTTAGGGAACCAAAGGATTTTTATCATATCAAGCAAGATAATCTCGATGCTTTTGACGCCTATACCGGGCCATAGTGCTGAGGGTGAATCAATGTACAGACATGCAAGGCCCACAAGATGATATCAATGACTGTTTCAAAAGGATATCAGGGCTCAAAAGAGGTGTCAACAGAAAGGGGAGGAATCCCTAAGTAGGTAGAGGTAGCCAGATCAAGATACCATGGATCTGTCATCCCAAGCTATAGAGACCTTACGTCTACTTGATCGTGAAAGTGGTCAACCCAACCATACCAACGATCCCTTGTCAGCAATCCATGAATTGTGTCGTCCAATGGAATCTCAATAACCCTAAGATCATAGGAAAGAAACCACTGACTCCTATGACTCTCTAAGAGATGGAATAAGTAGAGGTGGGACTTATATTCATCAATTAAATGACAAAAATGTCGTTGGAATGGAAGAGGAAAGAGAGGGCCGACCACAAAGCCAAAACACTCCCACAAAGGACGTACACCCCGTCTGGATTGGGGGAGCCTCTAACACCCTAGTCGTGCTAGACAACCTCCTAGGTAGAAATTTTATGCTTGGCTTAGTCGATTGAAGGAGCGCAGTGACTCCTCCTTAGAACTTGCAACATGTTGCCATTATCTACAAATTAACTTAAGTGTGGAGGTTGTATTACGGATTACTTGAGATATGTTCATGTTATACAACCCATTTTAAATCCGACCAAAGGTCATGCAAGAAAGTAAGTGCATAACGAAAATTGCAGAAAACTGCCCATTTAAAGTTTGGATGTGACTCCTCCTTAGAACTTGCAACATGCTGCCATTATCTACAAATTAACTTAAGTGTCGAGGTTGTATTATAGATTACTTGAGATATGTTCATGTTATATAACCCATTTTAAATCCGACCAAAGGTCATGAAAGAAAGTAAGTGCATAAAGAAAATTGCAGAAAACTGCCCATTTAAAGTTTGGATATTTTAATCCTAAATATTTTATTTAAATTGATTTTTTTATTATTAGGATTCTTGAAAAATATGTTTTGAGTCCTTAATGAACTTATATTGCATTTTGAAGACTAGTTCTTGATGGCCGATCGAACCTAGTTGATTAGTTGATCGGGCCTTTGTGTCTGATCAAACCAATATGGTTAGAAGACCGAGACTTGATTGTTAGTTTAAACAAACCAATTATTTAATTAGTACATGTTATTCATTCAAACCAGCATATTGGTTGACCTATCTGAAGCAGCCGATCAAACTAGATTTGTTAATCGATTGAGTTGAGGCAACCGATCAAACCAAAGTGGTTGGTCGATCGGGTCGGGGCTAGTGATTGAACTAAGTGGTTGGTCGATCAGAAAAGGGTCCTCGATCAAACCAAAGTGTTTCATATGATCAAAATAGCATTCTATACATACAAGAAATGAAACAAATACATTTTATAGCCAATTAGACTCATCCTAATGATCTTGCATAATATTCTAAGCTTTAATTTATGGATGTGTGGAAAAGTTACCTCCAAATTTGTTGAATAATACGAGGAGTTTTCTTCAATTCTTTAAGGAAAACTCCTCCACAACTTGAAGAATAAAATGGCCAAGAGGATTTTCATCCTCCAAGCTCCATGTGCTCCATTCTCTTCGTAAGAGATTGGAGCCGCCAAAATTATGGGAAATTCAGATTCCTATCATTTGGGTCAAGGATCTGGAGGTTTAGGAGAAGAACACTCAAGGATTCATATGGTCTTGATCAATGAAAGGCTCCTAACCTAAGGGGCTTCCTCTAATCACAAACCGTTAGCTTTAAATCTTTAACATCTTGACCAAAGGGGCTTTCTAAGAAGGCAATTTGCAATGATTTTAGAAATTTCACTTATGAGAAGGTTGATGACACTTTTTTTTTGCTTGCTTCTTGATCCTACCTTGCGTTGTTGAAGCTAGCTTCACTCCTTCTCCAAAGATAAATGAAGCTCTCCCTTTTTCTTACAAGAGATGAAGCCTTTTCTTCTTCCAATTGGGAGGAAGCACTCCTCTTCCAAAGGAGATGAGGCTTTCCCTCCAAGAAGCTTTTGCCAAGTTTTCCTCACCCTTTACTCAAGATATTGATGTAGGAAGAAGGAAAAATTTGAAGCTCTCTCAGAAAAGCCTCGTCCCAAGCTCTTCTTCTTCAATTGATAGAAGTCCCCCCTAATGACAGTCGATGCTTTACTCAGGAGATTAATGAAGGAAGGTGAAGCAAAAGATTAGCAAGAAGAAAAATAAGAAGAAGATGCTTGAGGAGTTCTCTCCAAGCTCCCCCTTGTTTCACATAACTCTTCTCCCACTCTTCCCTTGAAATGACGATCCTCAAAAGCTCTGCACAAGAGAGGAGATATCCTCCATACTAAGGATAATCTCCTTTTTCCAAAAGTTATATAGGTCAAGATATCCCATAATACTATTTTTGGGTATAAAACCAGCTAAAAAGAATTATCTAGAGGTTAAACGGTGTTAATGCCTGATTTCTAGTTTCTGTCTGCATTGTTGATTTTCTTCATAAAAGACTAAGCTGAGAGCCATTTTAGAGATTTTGAACCCATACCTTATCCCAAAAGGTGATGCCTCAACTGGGCTTGATAGAGAATGTCGCTTTGAGGTTGAGTGGCTCCTCCTTGCTTCAATTTGGACCGGAACTTGCCCTATCTATAAGCTAGACCAAATAAGGTCGTGGTTTGGTGTTAGATTATGATACAGACTGAGGAAAGGCTTAATTTTAATTGGTAACATGAAGCTAGGTCTCTATGAAGCTTTTGAGAGAATTAATTTTGAGTTTGAAAAGGTTGGTGTCAAGACTGAAAAAAACCCTGAACTCATGTTGTGAAACTAGGGTTTGGTGGTGGTGAAGATGG